ATCCAGAAGTTATGATTTTTTAAACACACGTACGAAATTTCAGTGAAACATATCAATATATGGTCAGACATTATATTTTCGGTAAGGAATTTTTTTCTCGAAAATGGTTAGGATTTCGAGGGTACGTCTATTGACCAAAAATGATAGCAATTGACCCCTGCAATTGAAAATAATTTTTTCCAGAACGATTTAAAATTTTTTAATTTTGTCGACTTTATCCACCTGCTCGAATTTTTTTCTCGAAAATGCGTAGGAATTCGGAGGTATATGTATTCACCAAAAATGATTGTAATTGACCCTTGGAACTGAAAATAATTTTTTTAGAACGATTCGAAACAATTTTTTTTCGCCGTCAAATTAAGGCACCTACCCCCTGTCGATTTATTTTAAATTTCGTTTTTCATTTTTAATAAATTTGTTTGACGCTGTACGGAAATGTTGTTTAATGCTTTTTGTAGGTATCCATGAGCTTTATTTCCAGACTAAATTTTATTGAAATATATTCACTATTGTAGGAGTTATGGACGTTTGAAAATTGCTCCATGTTTATGGCGTTTTTCTAACTTTACGGGTCCAAGGAACATCTTTTCGAATATTTTTGGAATTTCTATATATTCTCTACTAAAATACGCGTTGTTTGCATTTTGAAACATTAAAATCGTCCAATCCGTTCAGAAGTTATGATGTTTTAAACGAAATTTCAGGGAAAAATCTCATATATGGTCAGACATCGGTAAGAAATTTTTTTTCTCGAAAGTGTGTAGGATTTCGGGGATATGTCTATTGACCAAAAGTGATAGTAATTGACCCTCGCAACTAAAAATAATTTTTCCAGAATGATTTGAAATTTTTTAATAACTTTTTAACGAAGTCTCGATCAAGAAATTGATATTCTTGGTTTTCGTCTTATTAGGCCTCTAGAATCTCTCATTAAAATTTTTACATAGTATCTACAAACTACTAACAGTATAATCTAATAAATATTTTCCTTTAAAAATGATAATTTATGTCTCTGTTATTTTTATTCGTGTTAAAAAATAAAATTCACTTCGTTAATTGTATGTTTTCCATTTGAAAAACGAAATGGCTATAAAAGAATGTGAAGTAGAATTTAGAATGTCCCGTGACTAAAAGAAGATTGGAAAATGCTGCTGCAGAAGGTCCTTCAATTATTTTAAGTGGTGCATCCGCAGATGGTGTCTTTTTATCGTACGAAAACCATTTATAGTAATATTTCCGTAGAAACGATGCAATTACTACGGAATATTTATTACACCTTGCATTTGACAAGAAACGCATAGAGAAAACATTCAGTTATTCCAAGGCTGGACATTATTATTCGTAATCGTTAATATCATTAACAAAAAGAGAGTGTAGTATATATAATAATAGTTAATTAAAAATTTTTTTTTATACATTCGTTGAGAGCAGAACAGAGCAAATACAGTGTTAATTTTACCAGAATCGGTCCATTTGCTCACGCAACTCTCCTTCGCTCGTTCAATAAAAAGTTCAGCAAGAGCTGCAAATTAAAATTACGAAAATTGTGAAAAATTTGTCGCTTCTGCGCGCCCAAGGAATTACTTTCCAGTTCGAATTGTACTCCCGAACATTTATGATAATAATCTTCCATCCAATTACACTTCGATTCGCGCGACGTTTCTAGAAAATTGTTCGCGCTTGCAAATTTAAACGATGATCACTTTGTCGGCTCGCTTTAAGCTCTAATGATCGCGTAATTTACGATAATTCCAACACGCGTTGTTCGATGAAATATCGTTCTTGATAAAATACCAATTACACTTGCGAATCTTTGTCCCGTTTTTGCCACGCGCGATTACGTAACGCACAACGCTTTGTCGGCGATAATTCTGTGAATAATGCATCGCCGCGTACGGTCCAACGATCGAGTTTCATTTGTTTCATTAAGCTTACTCGCAGGTGGAAACGCAATGTTGCAACGCGTCTCCTAACATGCTTAAATGCGTTTTCAACGAAAAATTATAAAAAGCAGAAACGACTTAACACGTGGACTGCCCGGCCAAACCCCTCAAATTAAAAGGAAAATTAAATTTTCTTTTTAGACAATTGGAAACTAGCATACCAAAACTTATTTTCACAGACTTGTTAAAATTCAAGGGCCCTAGGCTTTATTTTCTTTTGCATCTGATCTTGAGAATTCATTTTTTTAACTCCCTGGTGAAAAGTCGTGTCACCCATGTGTGGCAGTCAATGTGTTAAATGCGTAAAAGAAAAAGAAAATTAAGCACCAACCGAGATAACGCCTCTTTCGCGAGTGTCAATTCAACAAAACTCGTACATCCAGCAGCAACGTTTCGTTTCAGCAGATTCGCGTCGAAAAGCATCACGAATCGCAGCAACGATTAATCAGACCGGCAACGATAACGAATACCGCCCGAAAGCACTCTGTTTTCGTCGTTTCATCGCGCGGGAGACGCGTCGACGATGAATTCGAATCGAATCCGACGGACGCGCGAAATTTTACCGTCAGATCAAATGCCCGCATTGTCTGCAACTGGCGAGAATATCGGCCGAGGAAACGAAGCTCGAAATTCACCGCGTACGCGCATAATTGTGACGTGTGGGGGGAAAAAAAAAAGAAACAGGAAGCACCGGGAGGCACGTTGAACGAAGATTTAATTATGAATCACGAGCGACTGCAATTCAATTTGTACTCTCGGTATCAAAGCGAAACTCCTGACCATCGTGAAACGCCTGTCGGATGAGATTATTGGCCGCTGATTATATTCCAAGGGTATCGAGTTTTAGCGACCTTACGCCGGTCGAAATCTCACGTTCCGCGGGAAAGAAGACGGAACTTTGCCAGTAAAAGGTTACGATTCGGTGGGATCACGTGGTCGGAAATTTTTACAGTTTGTGGGGTTATCTGAAGCGTGTTTTTACGGTTCCGGAAGGCTTCAGCGAACCGAACCGTACCTCGAGGACGCTTTAAAGACTCGATAGATAAGAACTGTTACGCGATAGCACCTTTCTTGGAGGTTCCTCTTCGTTTTTAGCGGCGAGCACGGAATCACCAATAACGAACTTCGTTAGCTTTTACTTCGTGCTGTGCTCGTTTCTTTGCACGATATTCTGGAACTGAACAGTAGCTTCGAACTTTACGGACTGGCGGGATGTAGCGTGAGAAACAGGGAAAGCCAGCTACGTTGTTTTAAAGAATAGTTTGTTTAAGAACAACATCGATTTTCGTTTGGAAGGTTTATTCAGTTGCTTACATAATTGACAAATTTAGTAATAAATAATCGAACATTCGAGGGTCAATTTCGACTACAGTTTTGTCTTTTCGCGTTCAAAAAGTCAGATTCTTCTGGAAGACAAACTCTCAATATCTTTTCTTTTCGTTTTTTTTTGTTCTTTCGGAAAGATCTGCTTTCAAATAGTGCACAGTATAGGAATGAGTAGTCTGGTCATGCGCCAGACATCGGAGACGAGCCATAAAGTGCTCGACCACCGAAGTTCCTCTGAAAAGACAAGATAAAATTATAAGTATAGTGAAAGGCCTCTGTCCGCAATATTCAATAAAAAATGCATTTTTCCACGAATATAAAACCGGCTGAAAATATTCAATTTGAATAAATTTTCTATCGAAAATGAACTTGCGTTGTGAAACAATTATTCGAGCGTAGAGTTCTAGAAACGCGGTTCTCCAGAGTTCGGAAACATGTCGAAGAATATAGTGGATTTCGTGCCAGCCACTTTGTCCAAAACTTTTATTAGTTTTCGTTGGGACGATCAGTGAATACCGAAGTAGCGTCTATGTTGGAGTTTCGCCACCGATTTATATAGCCAAACCAACAGACACGAAGAAATGTCCAAGAATGTTTGGAAGTTTGAAGAATTCGTAAAGAGCATTCGACTTTGGCGCACAAAAGTGCAGAAAGGACGGAAAACAAGAAATTTCTGAGAAGCTATAAGGGGTAGTGATCCATCTGAATTGACCCAGCGAGACAGTATGAAAGGCGAACGCGATGGTCAAGGGACAAGAGGAAGGGTAAAAGACGACAACTTCCGTTTCTTTAGCAAACAATTTTTGTTGACGAGTTCTGTCCTTTTCTCGTTGTTTGAACAATTTTTATGTACTTTATTATTTTATTTGGAGGGAAAAATTTCTATTTCAGGAAAAAATAACAACGTACTTTGGGTCGAATTTCTGATGATTGTTTTTCAAAGATCTAATTTGAAATCGTAGATTAGATGATCCCATAAATCCGTGCCATTCGACATTCTTAAATTGACGAGGATTAAAGTTGTAAATTATTAAGAAAAATAAAATTCGTTGCTTTCGTAACCTACTTAATAAGTTTCAATATTTTTAAGCTGTTGGAGACCACCTACAGTTTGTCCAATTCCTTCTCACGTGAAATTTACATTCAATACAATTTTAAATCTAAAACAAAATTAAAAAATCACAAATGTAACAGAGGGGACTGTCAGACAAATAGAAACATCGCTAAAAGCAATAGCAATCCGCTACAACGTCAATATCACTGGTTCGAATTCTCAAAATAGAATTAAAATATTCAGAACGGAACGAAAGTTCGCAGATTTTCGATCGACGGATGGATCGTTTTATTCCATAGTCCACGTTCGCGACGCCATCGTATTACGGGCCTTCTTCTAAAACAATATTATTCTTTGTGCTTTCAGGCATCCCCGATGCATTATCGTTCGCCGTGGGAGGAGGGGGATCTGACGCAACCGGAGGAAATATTTGCCTGAATTAAGTGCCACCGCGAAAGTTCTTTTAATGCCTCGCGACGAGCTAGAAACAGCGACGCGACGTTTCTCGGTGACGCGATCGGCAATAAATCGTAAGGGCGACGTAGTCTCGACGTCGGGGTAGTCGCGAATTCGTCGGGGTTGTTGGTAAATCGGCGCGACTTTGGTCGTGAGTTGCACCGACACGAGATAAACAGGAAACGTGATTTGCCGTGGACGCGGGGGGGCGATAGATCGTCGATACCCCGTCATTGGATCGACATTTTTCTGTTAAATTGTTGTTTGGGATATTTTTCGCCGGGTATTTTCGCTGGTGAGGGGACGGGCAGCGTTCACGATATTCATGGAAATTGACCGGGGCCGGTATTATCATGTAAAACGACGCGCGTTTATGTAAATTCGAGGGAATCGACGAGCCGAAGGAACGTTCCGCGCGATTGGCCGTTATCATGAGGCAGAAACGAGGAGGCACGATCGATTAGATGAGAGATCTTCGCGGCCGAGGGGATTTAATAACGCCGCGGGACACACGCCGAAAATGTCAATCGACCGTGGCGAATTACCGGTAAGCTTGTTAGAAGTTAATACATTATGTACCGAGGACGCGTGATGTACGTCATCGTTGCGATACCGACTGCCAACTACCGGAGGCGTCGTTCGTTTTAGCGTCCCTGGTACGCAGTGCTGAAATCTTACACTTCTTGGTTGAAATATGAGTCTCACTTATCTTTACCCTTAGACGACCACGCAATTTTCTACTACGTAAAGTACGTAATGGGGTGTATAATGAATCACGACGAACGAGTCGCCTAACGAGACTCTTCTCGACAAATATTAATACTAATGTGTTTATTAGGCAGATGACGGATTAGTGAAAATTAGTTATCGGAAAAAATAATATTACAAAAGAGGATAAAACTATTTACCACAGCAAACGTAATACATACGTACCTTATTTGTATTTTAAAAATTCATAATTTTGCTTTTTCGGGTCGATGGACGATTTAAGCGATTATAAAATTAAAATAAACATAGAAGACAGCGTAAATTATAGTAGTCGTTATGCTTATCGAATAGTGGTTAAAGTGTTCATTCAAGTCGATATTTTCAATTAAATAAACATTTTATAATGCAGCTTTATCGCACACCAATCGTATAATCAATAGGAATTGCAGAAACTTCTTTGAGTGCATAGTGTCAAAGTAAATATGAAAATAAACGTAGAAGACAGCATAAATTATAATACCTGTTACGATCAAGCGATAGAGGATGAAAAGCCCTTTAAAATGAGCGTTTGTACGAGTCGATAGCTTTATTAGTTCCGAAGATATAGCGATTTTAGTTTCAAGTCGACGCGGTGGCTAGTTCCGGAAATAGAAGGGTCCGAAGCGTTTGTTTACTTTTTGCTGCGGCCTTGTCAAGGTCGTTGACCGCGCGCACGCATTGAAAGTAGGTCACTGGGCCACAACGGTCACGAGTCACGTGCGAGACAGAGAGGTCCGGCGCGACGCGTCAGACGGAGACAGCGATAGTCGAATTAAGAAAAATACCCCTTTACATAAATTGCGATATCTCGAAAACGAAAAGTCCGATCGCCAAAAACCAAAAGCCATTTTAAAGGGGAAGGTTTGCCGCTGCTAACGATGTCTCAATAATTAATAAAATACTAATATTTTCGGAACTACACGCTTCTAAACTTTCAGTATTTTTAATGCGCGTCAATAGGCTTTTCTAAGGCGGAGAGCGGAATTTGAAAAATTACCCTTTACATAAATTACGATATCTCGAAAACGAAAAGTCCGATCGCCAAAAACCAAAAGCCATTTTAAAGGGGAAGGTTTGCCGCTGCTAACAATGTCTCAATAATTAATAAAATACTAATAGTTTCGGAACTGCACGCTTCTAAACTTTCAGTATTTTTATTACGCATTGTTTGACTATGAATATTGAAAAAATTCGTTAAATATTACAAAGTAACATTGCATGTTAGAAATTTTAAACGAAATATTAAATACGGTCATTTGATCGATTATATTTGGTTTAGTGTTAATACTAAGGTGTTTATTAGGTGGATGATTTACTGAAGGGTTAGGTCTGGGTTAATAAATATGTAATAATAATGATAACCCCATCTCTGAGTTATTTAATTGTTAAGCAATTAAAACTAACTCAGAAACGTATAACCACGACGTAGGAGTAAAGGTATTAAAAGCGAGGATTACCTGGCATAGCAAGTAATAATTGAATTAGGTCTGTAAGTTATTAACGAAATGACAAGGTGGGGTCCCTAATAGACCCCGGGTGGTCGTCTCAAGGTTAATTTTCTTGTATTAAATCATCCCATAAATTCGTGCCTAATATTTTAGTGGAACATAAAGCAATGTTACGTGCCATTGAATTTACTGAGAAATCGTCATTCATTTCTCATTCGACAATTCATTCCCTTCTTTCGTAAAAGCCATTACACCGTCGCTGTATAATTTGTTTAATCTCCCATTAAAATATTCATTGATAATTTCAAATTTCGCATCTACCAAGTTTTACAATGTACAAAATTTCCTAACAAAATTGACATAATTTTTCAAGAACATTCTTTGCTATTCGTGGTCCATCGATTATCCTATTAAATATATTAAAGGACTTTATCGATATATAAATCTGGCTTGAAACAGTATTACAGTGATTTTTATTTATCACTCCAGATACATTTTCATATCAAATTTATTTTTCATTCCCAGCTACCAACTAGTTCACAAAAAATATAGTATTCTTCCCAAAATTTCAGTTATCAGCCAACGTACAATTTGGACCAAAAATAAAGTTGATCCTCTATTTTATGAATTTTAATTCTCAAAGTTATTCTTTTATAAAAACGACCAGTATCTTAGAATCTGCTTGGATTCGCTGTGATATATATTTTGAGTTCGATTTCGTTCGTAAAGCACTCGTTTCAATCGTATCCTCTCCTTATATCCGGCGAATCTGAGATCCTCGTAAGTTCACGATACATTGATCGCCGTCGGCCAGTAAACACAGACTGAATTTTTCCAAGTTTTAAGTGGAATTTTTACGTCCGCGTCATAAACTCCGTGGCCATTGCTATCCCCAGCAGCTGGGAATTTGTGTGTTGATGGTTCGTCGAGACGTGTTTACGCGAAATACGTTCCATCGAGGTCGAGTCACGTAACTGGTATCGCTTGTAGCTTCTTTTTCGTCGCGGACGGAATGGAATGACGAAGAAAAATGTTCAGTGGCTCGATAGGATCTACTTTGTGGGTTCTTGCACATTTTGCTCGCTTTATGCAAGGAGAATTGCAAAAAATAAACATCATTCTATTTGCATTTGCAGTTACTGTTCCAGGGGGAATATGTAAACGCATTGAATACCCAGCTGGAAACAAATTGCAGGTTATTGGGGGGTATCTTTACAATAGTTGTACAACATGACTCGATGTAATAAGATTAGTTTTTCGTAGTGTTACGTATTCGACACGTATTCTCAGTCATTTTATCTTCGTCTTATACTTCACTAAAATGAACATTTTAAACCTGCAGAATATTATGCAGTATATAATAATTTACGTTTATATAACACTTTTTCCTATCTGTATCCATAGAATGTTCTGACAAAGTCACTTTAAATCGGGGATATTGAGTACAGTCGATGTTTGCAGTGCCCGTTCACCAGTTTTAACAGTTTGAACGGGCAAGAAACTTCACGACCAGAACAAGCGCTGTCAAAGCCCTGCGTAACACTTGAACGCTGTCATTTTGCGAGTTCAAGCGCAACCGCAAAGTCTCGCGACCAATGTCGCAGCCAAGTTACATCCACAAAGGTAAAATTTCAGCGACGAGGCGCGTCGAATCGATCGATCGAACACACAAGTTCCTCGTTACGAGGCAAAAAATCAGCTTCGAGTCTCGAGATCGGTGGCGTATTTTACTAATAAAACACGCACGGACATCGATTAAATTTCTTGGACTTTTTATCAAGACTTTAGAAATCCTTTGATATCCGCTGGAATAGAAATTCTCCGTAAAAAAGATATTATGACTAAAACCACGCGAGTAAATAGAGCATTTAAATCATACGTTCGATAACCCAGTGAACACGTAATTTAGCGAACAAGATATATTCTATGTAAATATCAGTTGAATCGCGACTGACCGACTTAGTACGGAAATTATAGGGCTCCAATCTCGCTCGAACGGTGGAACAGGTACGAAAACTTGTGGAACGCAATCCCGCAAATTCCGTCGACTATACCGTAGTCAAAACGTTATTCTTGAATTACGTTTAAATTACGGAAAAAGGTGGATTCGCCGACTATTTTCGGGGACCAAGGGAATTTCGATCCAAGTAAAATCGAGCCTCGGATGGACGACGGTGAATATCGATAAATTCCTCCGGAATGTATTTTCGTTCAGAGATAATTCCTTGTTGGAGCATCGACGAATCACCCCCCAAAGTTTTTAAAACATTCGTAGAAGTGACCTTATGACGTAAAGAATGTAAAAGATTCTGAAAATAACGTCTGTTCTTGCTGTATCATTTAATTGGGTTTCATCCTTGGAAAAGATCCTTTCATGCAGTGTTTTCTAAAATAAAATTTAACAGAAAAACATTTGGATAACGTAGATATCTCTATATTAATCTATTTATCATCGAAGTTTAACAACTGTTGAGATATATCTTTTTTACATTTCTCGTTAAATAAATGTTAAACAATTCTATATTTTATTTTAAGAAAATTAGTTTAACAAACGTGTTACTTGCATTTTCAAAACATTTTCTCTTGTATTATATTACTTGCAATATATAACTTAATACAGTATTATAAATAATACTTATTAATGAGAGAATTTTATAAGCTGTTAAAACTTAATTTTATCAGAGACTTTCTTGAAATAATTTTGTACATTTTGTCGTCTTAAAGTCAAATCGTGAAAGATTGATTTGTAATCTAAATACAATACAGAAAGAATTGAAATTTTTATTCACACGAAAATCGATCGAATTTGAATTTTACAACCAGAATTCGTCAAATTACCAGAACTGCGTCGAGATTTTTATCTTTCGAATTCGAAGAACCCGCGTACCGTATAAATTTCCTGCGTTTCCTATTAGCGTTGGGGGAAAAAATCAACTTGCACGGAGCTCGAGCAGATACGAGGGTAAATTCGCGCGGCGGCTGAAACAGCGAGGGGTTGTATGGCGATTCCGAGAATTTAGTGGCGACCAGATCGAAGTTTGCTTTCGGTATGATAGGACCGCTATCGCGGGTGCACGACAAAGAAAATGACGAAGCCGTTGGTTGTGTGCGCGTGTGCGATTCGTGGTCACGATCGAGCCTTCCGTGACTCGGCAACGTTAATTAGCGCTTTACTACCCTTAAGTTCGAGCTTCGTTGGAATCGCCGGCCGCCGCCACGGCTTTCCTCGCATAAACTTCATACGACACCTTGAACGGACCATGCGAACGCAATCGTAACGATTCCATTTGCGAAAACGGGATCACGCGTGGGACAATGTATTCCCGTAAATAAATAGTACTGTATCTTTGCT